GCATGGCAGACCTTGAAGGTCCCTCCCTTGAGAGGTTTCAAGCTGGACCTTTAAGATAATACCCGCAATACCACGCAGGGAGCCGGTATACCCCTTTTTGGCTGTTAAACCCCCGGAACGCCCCGTAAAGGGGGACCCCGCAAAAAAAAAGACAGCCATAGGCCCCTGGGCCCCGCCCCTCCCGCCGCCGGTACCGCCCCCCCCCCCCCCTCCCGCTCCCAAGGCCTTCCTCGCCACGTACGGGCAGTCGGTGGTGTCCGCAGACCTCTTGGAGAGGTCGTCCTTCTTCATGAAGGCGATCGGCTCCAGGTTGAGCGCGTGCACCCACTTCTTGGTCTTGTCCTTGGGCGCCGCAGACCCTGCGGCTAGCTCCCCCAGGGAGATGAACCTGGGGATTGGTTGTTGTTGTTGTTGTTGTTGTTGTTGTTGTTGATGATGTTTTTGTTTTGTTCGAAGGCAAGTGGATGAGGAGCCGGAGCCTATCGCCATCATCATCGTCGTCACATGCAGACACCGCCGTATCGTAGGGGACATGACACAAGATACCAGACACCCTCTACCGAACCTCCAGGTTACTCTTAAGGCGAAGAGGATGCATAAACGAAACGATACGTTTTCGGAAAGCTCTCGACGAGACGGCTTCCACGCCCCCCGTTATCGGCGCTGCCGCCCTTTCTGCTGTGGAGAAATCGAGCTTGGAGAATCGGTCCAGGGTGTGTGACATCTGATGTCCCCTACTGCTGTAGTGCCTCCAACAAGAAATCACGCATGCCTGCAAAGCCCCGGTCAGTGGAGAATCGAGCTTGGAGAATCGGTCCAGGGTGTGTGACATCTGATGTCCCCTACTGCTGTAGTGCCTCGAACATGAAATCACGCATGCCTACAAAGCCCCGGTCAGAGATCAACGGGGCACAAGCAAAAGCAAGCCGCCAGCCCACCTGGTTGTGTGCATGCACCCGCTGCTTCCGTAGTTCCTGTAAGGAGGTCGCTGGAAGAACGCCCCTTCTGATGCCGCGAAGTGGTACCTTTAGGAAGGGTTTCGACCGGCGAGGGGGAAAACGAGGTCGGGAACTAACACGTCATTGCTATCAGCAGCAGCAGCAGCAGCAGCAGCAGCAGCAGCAGCAGCAGCAGCAGCAGCAGCACCTATGACACAAGAAAAGGGACAACGGCAACGACAACAACAGCGCCAACGCACCTAACCAAAACCACCACATCCTTTATGCCGAATCGCTTGTGTTTGGTTGCCATCCCCCCCCCCCTTCCCCCCCCTTCCATCGGGCATCAAAACGACGGCGCAGCTTCCCGCATCTTACACCAACAACAGTACCACAATAACCCCGAATCTGGAATACGGACGAGCTTTCCTCCTGCTCCTCCTCCTCCTCCTCGAATCCTATCACCAAGCCGCAACCGTTACGCCAACAACAAACAACGCGTCAGCGAACACCCTTTTACCTAAGCTTGACCACAATACCACTGCACCACAATACTGGTACAACGACAAACTCCCCTCCCCCCCTACGCCTGTGAGAGGTCAAAGGTCTAACGACTACGGCATGCACGGCTATCAGTACACCCCTCCCCTTCTCCTACAAAAGAATAATAACACGCCAGCGATAACCCTTACCCTTACCTGTAAGCTTGACTTCCAACACACAACACTGATACAACGACCCCCCCCCCCCCCCCCCCTGGTCTCCCATCGCCCAAAAAAATCAAAGCCCAACGGTATCAAAAAACCCGCGAAAACCCCGAAAGTTTCCCCTTCCTAACATGCACCCAAAGGCGAGAGAAACCCCGTGGGGGTTTCCAAAAAAAACTTTCCCCCCCTCCCCCCCCTGTCACCCAACAACATCTACCCCCAAAACACTCATCAACACCCCCACGCGAGCAAACCTTAAAACCCTTACCTAAGCTTTCCGGGCCCCGGCCGCTTGGGCACGGCTTTTACTCCCCACCGCCGCCGGGGCGACGCTTGCCCCAAAAAG